GGAGTTGGCCTCTGGGCAGACGCTCTACCCACTACGCCACGGAGTTGGTCTCTGGGCAGACGCTCTACCCATTACGCCACGGAGTCGGCCTCTGGACAGACGCTCTACCCACTAGCTACTGAGGCGGTCTCTTGGCAGACACTCTACCCACTAGCTACTGAGGCGGTCTATTGGCAGACGCTCTACCCACTAGGCCACAGAGTCGGTCTCTGGGCAGACGCTCTACCCACTAGGCCACGGAGGTGGTCTCTTGGCAGACGCTCTACCCATTAGCAATTGAGGCGGTCTCTTGGCCGACGCTCTACCCACTAGCTACTGAGGCGGTCTCTTGGCAGACGCTCTACCCACTAGCTACTGAGGCGGTCTCTTGGCAGACGCTCTACCCACTAGCTACTGAGGCGGTCTCTTGGCAGACGCTCTACCCACTAGCTACTGAGGCGGTCTCTTGGCAGACGCTCTACCCACTAGCTACTGAGGCGGTCTCTTGGCAGACGCTCTACCCACTAGCTACTGAGGCGGTCTCTTGGCAGACGCTCTACCCACTAGCTACTGAGGCGGTCTCTTGGCAGACGCTCTACCCACTAGCTACTGAGGCAGTCTCTTGGCAGACGCTCTACCCACTAGCTACTGAGGCAGTCTCTTGGCAGACGCTCTACCCACTAGCTACTGAGGCAGTCTCTTGGCAGACGCTCTACCCACTAGCTACTGAGGCAGTCTCTTGGCAGACGCTCTACCCACTAGATACTGAGGCGGTCTCTTGGCAGATGCTCTACCCACTAGGCAACAGAGGCAGTCTCTTGGCAGAAGCTCTACCCACTAGCTACTGAGGCGGTCTCTTGGCAGACGCTCAATTCACTAGGCCACGGAGTCGGTCTCTGGGCAGACACTTTATCCACTTACCATGGGGGCGGTCTGATGTGATGGCTAAATGTGGGAGGTCATGCCAAAACCCACAAGCACAGGTAAGTGTAATGTATCATGTTGCCTGTTACGATCATATCATGTTGCCTGTGATGATCGTATCATCTTGACACACTGTCGTGTACAAGTGCAACCCCAAGGACATCCATTCCCCTGTCAGCATCACCAGCCTGACGGCAGCCAAGTGTGAAGGTCACTGTAACTTCAACAAGTGTTCATCAAGATGCCTGTGAGATAGCTACACCAAAAAGCGATTGCTCAGACACTAAAAACTACCTTCATATTAAATTTATGAAATTGCCCTTCAGGGAGTACAAAAGGAAGTGAGCCTCATTATATAGACTGAAGGGTTGCAGAGAAACAGTATTGTGATGTGTAGACACAGATATGGTACGCATGCTGGAAACCAAAATTCAAACCTGTAGTGAAGACAGCAAACCCACAACCCACTTGGCTAGTGAGTATCAGAGGGGAGACATAAGACATGAAACAGTGAACGCTATTTTACAACTTACAGAACAGACTTTAAACAACCAGTTTTGAAGCTGGGCCAACATTTCTTACAGGGAATTTCTGTGGCAGACAATAAATAAATAGAATCTTGTGGGATGCAGTACTCTGAATATGAAACAAATCCAACTTCTCAGGAAGACTTTCCATAAACTAGAGTTCTGCACACGGATCTCAAAGAGCCCTCTGACAAACACTGCCATGGCTAAAAGCCAGACAGATTGAGACCTCTTGACGAAGCCTACATCAAGCCCCCTCCAATCTGTCAATATTCATAAATAGGAGCATCAACCATAAAGAATCAATTCCCATGAATAAACTCATTCAGGACATGATCCAAACACCAGCTAATAACTCCAGACGTCCATAAACAAGAATTACGCCAGCGCAATAAGCTAATTATTTTAACGATGTTGGGTCAAAGATTTGTCCAACAAACATGTGCCAAGATGTTGAGAAAAGTACCCAAAGGATTGCACTGAAAGAAAACGCTCAATATCACCACTACCTAACCAAGAAACACAGATCGATAATGAACTACCAGCTCCAACAGTCGCTTGCTCTCATTATCAAGCAAGCTCTGAGTGGTGAGCTCCTCCCCACCTGGGACGCAGTGATCTTCCATCCAAACGGCCATGCCTGAAGAGGACCAATTTGAGGGAGGTCAAATTACTGAGGGCCAAATGTGGGAGTGATTACTGCCTGTGTTAATCCGACCCGGAGCATTCAAGATGGTGGTGGAGCAGGATGAGATATCTAACGAGGATAGCATCACCTTAAAGTGCATTTTCAAGAAATCAAGTTCTGGTTCAGCGATGATATTCAGAATGCTTCTGCAAAGTGCTACACTGATCAATCAGCTGTCTTAATTATCCCTGAAGAAGTTCTAAATAAGACTTGGAGACCAGCATCAGTACATTCAAGTCTCATATTGACTAAATTAAGCAGAAACTAAAACCCTCATCTACATTATCTGAGTGAGTGAGTGAGTGAGTTGGTTTAACACCGCTTTTAACAGTATTACAGTTATATCACGGCGTGTCAGCTTAATGTGGGAGGAAAGCCCGAAGTGATGCAAGTCTCAGACGTTTTCCACTTCAGTGAAACCCACGAGCAAGGGTATAGTGCTGACAAACCTAGAAACATAATCGGGGCTAACCGGGATTCGAACCCACAATCATAGGTTTCTGGCATGCCCAAGGGACGCAACTCTGCACAGCGAATCGCGGCGCCTAAGACGACTGGGCCACCCGTGCCCCCATCTGAGTGAGTGAGTTTGGCCGCTTTTAGCAATATGACGAGCGAACGCTTAAACCACTAGGCTACCCGACCGCCTCTACATTATCTGAGTGAGTGAGTGAGTGAGTGAGTTTGGTTTTAGCAATATGGCGAGCGAACACTTAAACCACCCGGCCACCTGACCGCCTCTACATTTTCTGAGTGAGTGAGTGAGCGAATGAGTTTGGTTTTAGCAATATTACGAGCAAACGCTTTAACCACTAGGCCACCTGACCGCCTCTACATTATCTGAGTGAGTGAGTGAGTTTGGTTTTAGCAATATGACGAGCGAACGCTTAAACCACTAGGCCACCCGACCGCCTCCACATTATCTAAGCAGCAGTTATTTACAAGTTTTGGAAATATCATATTGTGTGATGGATTAGGTCACGGTTACTGGAATACAAGAGAGGAAGAACACATCAAAACATGCTTGTCGTGTTCATCAAGTGGAGTAATTTATTAATATGCTGAAACTATCACAATCTACACATGACAACGTCACAAAAACAACCCATGCAAACTCCTCGAAAGTGAGGGCAGGATCTAACTTGGGTCGGAACATTCACATCAGACTCACAAAACATGTTAGTTCTGTTGTAAAATGAGATACTTATTGGTTTTTAAACTTATTTTCATCATATCCCTTCAAGTGTCAGTGAGTGACCAATCTGAGGAGTCGAAACCAGGGCTTCAGTGTGACGAGCTAACGCCTTATCCACTGGGCTACCCCTCTGACCTTCAGGAGTTGGTAGAAGGGGTTAAAGGGGTTAAAGGGTCTGTTTGGGGCTGAAGTGTCAAACCTGCAGACCCATGAATCATTAATGTTTAACATAATGACAAGCACCCCTTGACTTAGATCCCTGATAACACTGATAAGGAATATCTTTATGCTCTAAGACTACGAAACTAGGAAAGTGACAAGGGTTATTTGAAAAGAAATTGTATGACATCATTGTTTTATGCAGTGTCAGCTATATCACATCTATCCGGCCAGGATCAGTGACACCGGGGTTGGACAGTGCAAGCATTGGACAACGCACTTATAAACAGGAGTTAAAAGTCATTGGAAAAGCCTTTCAGTTACACCCAAGTGTGCCAGTGGATGGAAAGTCTGAAAACCAAGAACCTTCATCTGGGCAAATCTGGGGTTCGAACCCAAGGTTAGCAGAACCTGGCATGTCTAAGGGAAGCAACTCTGCACATGGTAATCATCACCTTGGGTCACCACTATCGTCAAATGAGAGTTTGGTCACTGATCTGAGTTGGTCCTGAAAGGTGGTCACACTGCTTCTCATTGGCAGACATTGCTCACATCAAACCACCGTTTGGGTTCCTCCTAACAAGACTAAAACCAGTCTTTCCCTGGAGTGAGTGAGTGAGTGAGTTGGGTTTAACGCCGCTTTTAACAGTATTCCAGTTATATCACGGCGTGTCAGCTTAATATGGGAGGAAAGCCCGAAGTTATGCAGGTCTCAGACGTTTACCACTTCGGTGAAACCCACGAGCACGGGTATGGTGCTGACAAACCTAGAAACATAATCGGGGCGAACCGGGATTCGAACCCACAATCATAGGTTTCTGGCATGCCCAAGGGACGCGACTCTGCACAGCGAAACGCGGCGCCTTAGACGACTGGGCCACCCGTGCCCCCGTCTTTCCCTGGAACAATTTGAGTACAGTTACACTGGTCGGAAGCAACGATCCAGCCATATCACAACAGGGAACACAAGGGCTTCACACACTGTCAACATGTTGGGAATCAAACCCTTGCCCTTTGGCGGTATGAGCCCACCATATAACTGCAAGGCTACCCAACCGCCCTTACAAGGATAGCATAACAGCTTCAGATCAGGTACTTCTCTAGGACATAACTGTCATCCAAAACGTCCAAAATTTTAATGTCCAGGATTTTATTCAAATCTGTTAATCCTATACAATTATGTCCTTTCAAAAGGTGATCACATCATGAAACCTGCCCTAACCTGCCCTAAATTCATTCGTCTGTGGCAAGACCACTATCCTATAACCATGCGTCACACCATGGAATGAATGGCACTAAATGAAAAAAAAACAGATGAATAAATAAAAAACAAAAAACAAAGAGCTATGAATGAATCTACAAGATTCTGAAACAAACAGGAAAATGTGAGCAGTGTTAATCGCTGAAGACCATTGGATTAGGATTAGAGAGATAATCACACTGGATTAAGTCACACTCAAACAGTCCTGGTACTGAAACAAGGGCGGCAGTGAACACAGTCTAGCTAGGAGACCAAGTAAAGCTTTACCCGTGGAGACTAGCATTGAGAGTCCTGCACCTGAAAAAGCCAATTGAATTCAAAAATTGTTTTAAAAATCATTTATTGGACACAGAAATATTTTAAAGAATGAATGAGTTACAATGAATTTGAACTGATGATCTAAGAAGCATGAGATATCAGTCATGAAGAGTGGAACATGTTTATTTTGAAAAGATGTTTGCAGAAGCTCTGACTACTTATTGAATCTACCTTCTAGTCCTAGTTACCAACCATCCTCAAGACAAGGAAGCAGGAGCTTGTTCATAAACAGTCTTGTCCCATCATCTTCCTCTTCCCATCAAAAACAATTAACTTATGATGAGAAGTTGTAAACCTCAAGCTCAGGCAGTTTTTCCCACAATGTTATCGCAAGGGTATCAAAATTCTCAGGGGCCGTCCTGTTATGCTATCGCTACTTGGGAAAGAAGATTGTAAAGGTAATTATCGATCCACGTCACAATTTATCACCAGCATGTCAAGCAATGAAGTGAGGTATCTGCAGAAACATACACAAACAAACACATGTTCTATGAAGGAGATCTTATAAGAGTGAGGTTTGGCTTAGCTCAACACCACATACCAGTACACCAGCCAAGCCTTAGCTACATCAAAATAATATATTATTCCTTTTAAAATAATGTTCCGATTATGTAAGCAATGAAAATAAAAAAGAAATAATTAAGTGGATATTATGAAATCTTCCATATGCCAAAAATCGTCAAATTTTCGCTATATTAGTGCTTAATCTGTACGTAATGAATGTGTTACCTTACATGTTTTACCGTATATAACAAAAACTTAACTTAGTTGTAAATGCATTATTTAAATAATGTGATAAACATTACTTTCATATTTATATACAGTAGGATTAGACCTTTCAAATGGGAATAACATATAGTAGGAAACATGTTTTACAAGCAGATAATTTCCTTGATAAATGTAGGCTTCATCTGACACACCAGAGTCTCAGGGAACTCGGTGTCACAGCAGTAAAAGATTCTGGGTGACTGGTGTTAAAAGAGTTAACAGGGGCACGGGTGGCCCAGTCATCTAAGGCGCCCCGATTTGCTGTGCACAGTTGCGTCCCTTGGGCACGCCAGAAACCCATGATTGTGGGTTCGAATCCCGGTTCGCCCCGATTATGTTTCTAGGTTTGTCAGCACCGTGCTCGTGGGTTTCACCAAAGTGGTAAACGTCTGAGACCTGCATCACTTGGGGCTTTCCTCCCACATTAAGCTGACACGCCGCGATATAACTGGAATAATGTTAAGAGCGGCGTTAAACCCAACTCACTCACACTAAAAGAGTTAACCGTCAAACTGCTGAATTAAATAGTTGTGACACTCAATCTAAGGGTTAAAGCTTTTCAGGACATTATTTCCGTGTTATCATGGCTTGTCAGCATCAAGTGGAAAGAGTGAGTGAGTTTGATTTTACGGGGCTTTTAGCAATATTCCTGCAATATCACGGCGGGTTACACCAGAAATGGGCTTCACACATTGTACCCATGTCGGGAATCGAACCCAGGTCCCAGAACTTCGGCGTGAAGAGCATCAAGTGGAAGAGAAACGGATCATATACTTCACCATTGTGATCACAATAAGGAATATCTGGGATTCAAACCTCTAACAACAGATCCTGGTAACAAAGGGGGCTTACTCTGCACACAGTGCCTCTGACCAAACTCTTCCAAGACTACGAGAAGCTAAACTGCCACAACAGTGCCACCATACACACAGTTATTAAAACCATGCAAAGCAACATTGACGGGAGCGTGGTGACAATGTTTCCTGACTCTGTGATGAAGTGTTCCCTGAGGGCTAGGTGGAGACTCCGTCCACCCATCCATCACAAAAATACCTATCAGCATATTATCAACAATACTGACATGGTCGCGCAATAAAAGCGTGATAAAAAACAGCATGATAATGCAATATCTCGACAGCTTTTATTCTTTTATCTAAACAACAGCATCCTGCCAGGAAGAGGGCCACTTTAAAACATGGACAAAAACAGGTATGTCAATGTCAAGGTCTTTGTAGCAGAGTTGGCCAGAAGTTCTACTCACTAGACCGTAGCCATGTCAACAGTGAAGGGCGTCTATTACCAGTTTCTTTCAACCAGGGTATTATAGCTCGGTGTAAACGAGTAGTGTAAATTTGTTGAATTGTATGTAGGTATTAGCGTATAAAGTACATACAAAATTGAATCACCTTGTCACCCCGGCGACTCTTATGGTGGCAACCCGTCTGCTTTATGTTGGAGTGAGTGAATATGGTTTAGCAATATTCCAGCAATATCACAGCAGGGGACACAAGGAATGGGCTTCACACATTGTACCCATGTGGGGAATCGAACCTGGGTCTTCGGTGTCACAAGCAAACACTTTAACCACAGGGCTACACCCACCCCAACATTTTTAGACCACTAGTCCTCATGATGATAACATGTAGCAAACCTTTAAAAATTGGTAATTTCTACTGGTCCTTATGATACGTTAACTCTTGGGCAGTTTGGCAAGGACTACAGCACAATTTCTCACGCTGACTACCATGATGAAGGGTAGTCATTATTTTCATTTGTACTTATTGAATTAATTAATGTAAGATAAGAAATGGTGGGGTGAATCTGTCCCTTCTCTGGCAACAGAGTCCAGGAAGGTTGATGTTGTCATGTTCCACATCTCTTTCACAAGCACAGGAAGGAAGGAAGGAAGTCCAGCACCTGCTTTAATCAAAATATTGTAGCCATGTGTTGTGGGTGCCTGTATTTCAGTATCATCACAGCATGTCATGTGATATGTGCCCAAAGTGATGAACGACATCTCACAGCTTCGGTAGACTCCAGGAGCAGGTATGAGTGAGTGAGTGAGTGAGTGAGTGAGTGAGTGAGAAACTCAACTCGCAACACAAATTGTGGCACCTTAGACGACCGGACCAATATTCAGCGCCTTAGACGTTCGGTAGACTCCAGGAGCAGGTATGAGTGAGTGAGTGAGTGAGTGAGTGAGTGAGAAACTCAACTCGCAACACAAATTGTGGCACCTTAGACGACCGGACCAATATTCAGCGCCTTAGACGACCGGGCCAATATTCAACGGCTTAGACGACCGAGCCAATATTCAGCGCCTTAGACGACCGGGCCAATATTCAGCGCCTTAGACGACCGGGCCAATATTCAGCGCCTTAGACGACCGAGCCAATATTCAGCATCTCAAATGACTAGACCACTGGTCTTATTCATATGGTATAGTACATAATTACAGTGTTACTCAATTGCACCCAAGCTCAAAGGAAAGTGTGATATTCGTATATTTGGGAGTACGGCTCTGATGGAATCCAGCAGTGAGGCCAACCAGTACAGTGAGTGGCTGAATCTGCAATGTCGGAAACTAGAGAGCTTGTGGGATAATTCTCCTGAAGCCTGCTACCTGGAAACTAATTGACCCCTCACCCCACAGTCAGCATATTAAATCACTCAATGGTGTCTTGCTACTACTGACACCAATCACTTTCAACCTAGCCTCTAAAATCCAGCGTCTGAGAGGAATTTGCCGCTGCAGGAATCTGCCGGAAGAGATTCTCATTAGTACTGCTGCACTGTCTGGGAACAGGTTTGAAAATTGTGATATTGTCGAAAAACAATCCTGGGCCCTGCTCCACAAAGCGATCTTAGCGCTACGACAGTTGTAAGTCTATGTTAAAGTATGGGAGTTACGATCGACTTAGCCCTAAGATTGCTTTGTAGAACGGGGCCCAGATAGTTTAGCATTAAACTTTGGGATAATAGGTAGAAGAAACATTTTAGAAATTGTCTCCACTGCAAGAGTTGTCATGACGACAGAGTGAGTGAGTGAGTGAGTGAGTGAGTGAGTGAGTGAGTGAGTGAGTGAGTTGGGTTTAACACCGCTTTTAACAGTATTCCAGTTATATCACGGCGTGTCTGCTTAATGTGGGAGGAAAGCCTGAAGTGATGCAAGACGTTTACCACTTCGGTGAAACCCACGAACACGGGTATGGTGCTGACAAACCTAGAAACATAATCAGGGCGAATGGGGATTCGAACCCACCATCATAGGTTTCTGGCGTGCCCTAGGGACAAAACTCTGCACAGCGAATCACGGCGCCTTTGCCGACTGGGCCAACAGTGCCCCCCATGACGACAGTGACTACCGTCTAGTGACAGTCTAGAGACAGTCTAGTGAAAGTCTAGTGACAGTCTGGAGACAGTCTAGAGACAGTCTAGTGACAGTCTAGTGACAGTCTAGAGACAGTCTAGTGACAGTCTAGAGACAGTCAAGAGACAGTCTAGTGACAGTCTAGTGACAGTCTAGAGACAGTCTAGTGACAGTCTAGAAAACAGTCTAGTGACAGTCTAGTGACAGTCTAGAGACAGTCTAGTAACAGTCTAGTGACAGTCTAGAGACAGTCTAGTGACAGTCTAGAGACAGTCAAGAGACAGTCTAGTGACAGTCTAGTGACAGTCTAGTGACAGTCTAGAAAACAGTCTAGTGACAGTCTAGAGACAGTCTTTGGACAGTCTAGTGACAGTCTAGAGACAGTCTAGTCAGAAGCAGGGTCCAGTGAAGCTTCTTTATATCCAGCAACGTAAGTTAAAAAATGCCCACAAAAATGGACTGAAAAAGATGTCAAGTGACCAATTCAGGCCAGCAACCTGTGATAGCCTACATCACAAAGGGCAACACCAGGCTTAGGAATACGGACAACAAGCCGGCTCAAGGTTAAGTTAAGGTAGCTGGCTAGATTGTCAGGGTTTTTCAGGTATTGTTATTGCAGGGTGGGCATTATAATGTCAGAGTTGGCTTCCCTGCATCAGGTAGCCGGGGATGGGGAGTCTGTGGCACGCCATGTTGATGTGCAGCCCGTGTCTCTCTGTCAGAACTCATGCATGGCAGCCTACCATGGATCACATCTCGCCATAAAAACATCAAAGGAGGAATGTGGCCAAGTCTACATCAACATGTGCGAAGACCATGCTTCGCTTGTGGTCCTGTCATG